TTCAGACGGATTGTGTTTTAGGGCCCACTTATGTAAAGCAAAGCTGCGTTCTAGCTCAGACTGGTTTCCAAACATGTCCTCCCACACTTCAGTTCACAGCAAATTAGACCCGACAAGACATGAAATTGGTGTTTTGACTGGGGAGCTCCTCGAGTCTTTCAGCTATTTGTGTCCCAGTTCCCAGTCCTGTGTTAATGTAAAGCCCCTTTTTTTTAAAGATATTTTTTAACTATATTACTTTTTATCTTTATGTTTAATAGCATTTTCCTCTGATTCTGACACCCAGAGGGCTTTTTTTACGTGGGGATTTGCTCTGAGACTCTTTTCTCCTGAGGAGGAAAACTACTTTAACTCCTTTTTTGCCAAGTTTCCACTCACCAAAGAAGCAGATATGAAGCAATGGTTTGAAAAGCTCCCAGAAAAGTAGCTTTTCCATTCGGCGGTTTAAAGCTGGAAACGAGCTCTGAAGTGGACATCCACCAGAGGAAAACAGCCTCTGGAAATATTAAGACTTCATGTGTTAAACGCTGAATTTGTTTGGCCGTTTTAAGTTGTTTCCTATGATTGTTCCACCTAATTTTCCTTCTTTTTGAATCAGCTTCTTCTAAAATCTGAAGGGAAATTAAAATCAGTCTGCCAGTTAGTGCAGAAACAATATAAATCTGTTAGTTCAACTCAATTATTCACTGAAAATTTAAGGAAAATGGAGGGAAACTTTATAAAATAACACCTTCTTTCAGCCCAAAGGGAAACTAAATTAATGTAATTTGAAATATTAACAAAAAACAGTAACACTTAAATAAACAGATCAGGGGGAAATTGCCTTAATAATTCTTAATAATTCCTGGAAGTTTCTCAAGATTTCTGTCTGTAACCCTTTTATTTAGCACAACAGTTTTTTTTTTCATATTTTCATATCCATTTTAAAATGGTTTGAGTAAACGTTCTCCAGCTTTATGAAGTTTTTCTTTGGACTTTTTCGGCTTTTTCTCTCATTTAAATCCAGTCGTTGCAGCTGAAGATTGTCTGTAAAGAAGAAAAGCTCTTAAAAACAGAGTTTTTTAGGGTTTCTTTTGACTTTAGGAAGCTCAGTCAGTTGTTCAGATGTTGAAGAATCCCCTCAGAAATGAATTAAATAACCAGACGGGAGCAGAAATGTCCTGTAAAAGTCAAAAGCAAACCTGATTGATGCAGTTTTAGAGGCTGAGACATGTTTTCTTTTTGCTGTTTGTGAGGAAAAAATGCCTCGGGCCTCATAATCCGGCGTTATTGGTAATTAATAAGTCAGGAAACGTCTCCGGTTGTGAATAACGCCGTTCTCCGGCGTGCACGTGTGCGCATGATGCACTAAGTGGGATATTAATAACACCGTGACCCCGGGAGGCAAAGTGATTAAATTATAATCAGCCCAGATTAATTAATCTATAATATTTATTCCTATTGTGGTGAGGGAAAAGGAGGCTCAGAGCTTAGAAAAGGTTGTGTGTGCACGCTCCTGAGTCTTTGTGCTGGGGGGGGGGGGGGGGGGGAACGACGCCCCCCTGACAGCACAGGCAGGAGGTTTTTGCTGATATCAAACGCCCTGCATGCAATTATCTGTCACAACAAATAATTAAGAGGGCTGATAATGAGGAAATTAACATTTCCATTGTGGAGAATCCTCATTGTCTGAGAGGGTCAGCGCAGAGGCGCCCGGATAAATGACGCTTCTGCTGTTTGTGTGTGCGGGAGAGTGTGTTGTCGTCTTCAGGGAGTGATATCAGAGGGCTGTGTGAGTCTGTGTGGAGGCATTTTCACAACAGAAAACACAAAAACTGACACCAAACAGCCCAATCAGAGCCGCTCCTGCAGGTGTCACAAACTCACACATTTAAATGACTTTTTAGGCTGTTTTTGGGTTCATTTCTGTTTCTTTTTCATACTAAATCAAGTTAGTATGACTTTTTAGGCTATTTTTGTATTACTTTTTGTTTCTTTTTCATATTAAATCAAGTTAGTATGAAAAAGAAGCAAAAATTAACACAAAAATAGCCTAAAAAGTCATTTAAATGTGTGAGTTTTGTCTGGCGTTTAGTTGAAAAACTCTGAACTTTCAGGATAATATTCTACTTTTAAAGTTAAAATTCAAAATTAAACAAGAAACTGGTCACAGATTATTGAGCAAAAAAATCAAATGCAGCAATCCAAACTGGTAATTATAGTTTTTTAATACAGATTTTTTCTTTAAGATAATAGGTGTGAAGTAGGCCTGCAAGTGTCTGTTTTTGACAATTGGATTGAATTGGAAACCCACACAGGGTGGATTAAGAGGGTAGAAAAGAAAAAATGCTGGAGGGAATAAGACTGATAATATGACAATAAACTGGTCTGACTGATTATAATTGATGGATTTAACAGGATTCTTATTGTTTTACAGTTATTAAACTTGATAAGTGAATTCAGTTTAATTTAATCTATTGAACCTCATCTCATTTTGTGCTGATAAAAAGCCCAAAAAGTCCAACCACCTGAGCACGTTTTAGGAAGTTTAGGAACTTCCTAAAACCGCCATGGTGGGGAGAGGTGGTTTCCACGGTAACGGTGTATCCAGTCACATCAGAGGACG